TTTTTAATGAACAAAAATTTAATCATATGGAGTATGTAGTTTTGCACTTTGCAGCTAAAAGTTGATCTGGTTCATTTGTATTCCATCATACTTATATAAATGCTACCTTTTATGTCAACACTTCCTTGACCTCATTACTCCCTCTCATTCCAGCATTAATTGATTCCTTTTCATAGTAATGACTATGGATCAAACTCATAGGCTGTTAATGTCCAATAAACAGTATTGGTCAGTATTGGTTTGCATTGAGTTTCTGAAATCATATAATCACTAACTAAATCTCTAAAGCTGAGATTTGCTTAATCTTAGCACCTGAAACTACTAATGTAATTTATTTTCACTTTCTTGCCAAGAAAAAGTAGCCATCCAATTGTGACCTTTGAGGTAATCCTTCCCCAATTCAGTTCACACATTACTTAGATTTTTAAATTAATTAAAAGATGGAATATACTTTTGTTTATTTAATAAAATATGTTCTTTCTTTCTCCTAGAATATATCAGAGCCTTGATTACATAGAAGATAATGCTACCGTTTTTCATGCCTCCTATCTCTCTGCAGTAGCTAATGCTGAAATAAAAAACTCAGTGGCTTTAGGTCATTTCGTTCTTCCTCCTGCCTGCCTGCAAGAAGGTTAGAAAAAATGATTTAACCAATCCCCTTTAGACAGCCTAATATAGCTATAAGAGATTCCTGGTGTCTTAGTGGTAAGGAGTTGTGTTGCCAACCCAAAGGCATGTTGCTCAAATCCACCAAATGCTCTGTGGGAGAAAGATGGGAAGTCTCTTTCCATGTGATTTACTGTCTCTGAAAACCTGCTGCAGAGTCAGCTATGAGTCTATTTTGCTTCAACAATACACAATAACAACAATATATCTATAGAGATCTGTTGTCATATTCCACAGGGAGTTGTGCTTGTAACTTACCTCCCTGGCTGAGGCTCCACCACTGGCTCCAAGGAAGAAAGGTGGGAACTTTGCTCCCAGCCAGTTTACAGACTTGGAAATCTGCTGGAAGTTCAGCTTTGAGTCAGTTTAACTCTACAGTAATTGAGAGTGAGTGAGAGAAACATAGTTGTGGGTTCCCCAGTCTTGGTTCCTAATTACAGACTTATGTTGTTTAAGTGAAAAAAAGAATAGACTTTGGATCAGATTGACCTGAGTTTGCATCCTGACTTCTTTCTGTTGTTGTTGATATTATTAATTGTTCATTTATATACTTGCTGAGTTCCTATACTATGCCAGGTTTCAACCCAGATGCAGATCTTGCTCTTACAGTGCTCACAGGCTGAGATCCAACACTTAGCAAGCGTTGTGATCTTCAGCAAGTTATTAACCTCTCCTGTATTGTTTTTGTCGTGTGTAACATGTTGGGCTGCTAACTGAAAGGTCTGTGGTTCAAATCCATCAAGCCCTCCTAGAGAGAAAGATGGCCAATCTTCTGTAAAGATATACAGCCTCAATAGGAGGGTTGCTATAGGTTAGAAGTAATTCAATGGCAATGGTTTGGTTTTATTTTTTAAATTTTGTGGGGTAAGTTGTTTTGAGGATTAAACGAGATAATGTATTAAGCTGTCTGAAGTGCCGAGATTTCAATATTCAATATACATGTTCCATTTAGTTTTAAATCTTATCTCTCTGACTTTTTTTCTGATACTAAAACATTTGCTCTGATAGTTACTTCTCACGATAAAATCAATATCAGTACCACCATAAAAAATCCTGGATCAAGTAAGGGGAAATGTTGGAAAAAAACCTTAAAAATACAAAAAAAGTCAGTTGGTTTTTTTTTTTTCCTTTTTCTTTTCTTTTTAGAGAGAGATTACCATTTTCTTTTCTTTTTTTTTTTTTTATTTCCACTCATTCATTGTTGTACTTTTCTTCTCTCCCATCTCTTCCCCCAGTACACTCTCCTCTTGGAAAAATAAAAGAAAAATTCTTTCATTGTTTTACAATCCCTCCCCCAGGGTCCACTCAACTATGCAGCCTTCGCTCTGGACTCTGTCATGACAAAAATACCTCATCACATAACCCTTTTAAACAGTTTTCTCCCTCATATGTTTCAGTGCAGTATGCATTATTGAACTCATCTTTCTCAGTCTCCCCCCAACCTTGAGGTCAGTCCTGTTTTACAACAATATCACCATGCAGTATTTGTCCTTTTGTTACTGAGATACTTCACTGTCCTCCAGGGTCACCCATTTTGAATAATACTGCATGAGTTCCTTATTTTTCAATACAGCATAGTATTCCATTGTGTGAATATACCACAGCTTCTCTATCCATTCGTTTGTTGATGTGCACGTAGGTTGTTTCCAACTTGTTGCTATTGTGAACAAAGCCGTGATAAACATAGGTGTGCATATATCCGCTTGGGTGGCAGTTGTGATCTCTTTGGGGTATATTCCTAGTAGTGGAATTGCTGGGTCAAATCGTATCTCTATCTGCAACTTTTTGAGGAAGCGCTACACCGCCTTCCACAGTGATTGCACCATTTTACACTCCCACAAACAGTGAATAAGGGTTCTAGTTTCTCCACAACATCGCCAGCATTTGTTGTTTGGTGTTCTCTTAAATTTTGCTATTCTTCCTGGAGTGCTATGATATCTCATAGTTGTTTTAAAATAGGTCAGTTTTACTAGAACAATCGAGACTGTTGTTACATGCCATCAAGTTGACCTGACTCAGCACAGTAGCTCTGAATATTGCCCAATCTTGAGCCCATCTTACTGTCTCTGACATACCTACCCTCATTACCCTAGTTACTGTATCAATTATTCTCAACCAGGATCTTCCTCATCTCCTGCTTTGTCCTTCCATCCTTTCAAGCATGATGTCCTTCTCCAAAGACTGGTCCCTCTGGCAACATGCCCAAAGTATGTGAGGCAGAGCCTTAAAATCCTTGCCTCCAAGTTGCAACTTGGTTTTACCCTTTCCAAAACTTATCTGTTAGTTCTCTTTGCAGTCCATGGTATGTTCAATACACTCTTCTCCAGCATCACAACTCAAAGGCATCAATTATTCTTCTGTCATCTTTGGTCATTGTCCAGCTCTTGGCCTGGATCAGGTGTACCTTGGTCTCCATACTGACGTTGTTACTCTTCAGTACTCTGGAGACTGGGAGAATCCCAAAACTATGGCCATTAGTTACCCTTTAAACTTGGAAGAAAACTCATTCACCATCATGGCTCAACTTTCAGCTAACCAATGGACAACATTATATTGTGACCAGGAAGGAATTAATTCCTTAGAATAACTAACCATATATGTCAAAAGAGCACCAATTGCCCTCAAGGCATGAAAGAAAGATTAATGGAGATGAAATTTATAGGAAAGAAGTGGAAAAAAGAATTATATCATGAGTATTGGAATTAGTAGTATGGAAAAAAATGTGTATGAATGATTAAACACAACCCCAGTATACTTGCAAACTTTCTCTCAAACCACAATAAAAATATGTTTATTATAACAAAAATTTTTCTATGGTTATAAGCCCATAAATTGCTTGTTGTTATAGTTTTTTAAATTTTTGGAAAGTATTTTAATATTGATTATATCATCACTTTCTGAAATAGGAAGGGCAAATAAGGAAAAGTTTTTGAAATTTATTTTTTTCATTAAACCTTTTTATTTCCTGTCCAAACTTTTGCTTTTCTTCTATGACCTAACTTAGATGGCTTGTTTTCAGTAGGCCTGGCAATATTACCATCTCCAGAAAGGCACACTGAAGCTGAGTACAGATTTCCAGTGAATTAAGTATTAAAAGTAAGCAAACAACTCGTCAAAATATGTCTAGAGAAGACCCTTAGAAATCTTAAGGAATTTGTTATTTCTATAGCTAATGTCTTGCTAAGACACAATTATGAAACTGTTCCAAGGGATCTCTGGTGGCCTAGTGGCAAGAAGCTGCACTGCAATCCCAGAGGTATGTGGTTTGAAACCACCAGATGCTCTGCTGGAGAAGGAGGGGCAATCTCCTCCTATACCAGTCAGATCTGATTTGATGGTACACACACACACACACACACACACACACACACACAAAAATAATAAAAACAAAACAAAAACCTGTCCCAAGTTATTCTGAAAATAATGACTGCATGGAAGAATTGATTTATTAAAAATGATCTGTTCCAATCAATAAGTTTAATATACTTTGATTTTTGCATAAAACACATCTGTATTAATAACACATGCATGCATGTAATGTGCATAGTTCTAGAAAATGAACTCATGTGGAGGTTGTGTGGTTTGTAAAAATATGTGTAATATCACAGTTATTTGTAAAAAGACAACAATCTTTGCTTTCAGTGAGTTTATATTATAGTCCTGCATGTTCTGATTTTAAATTATCTGTCCTGCTCTGCCTTATAGGGAGCTGTGATGGCTTAGTAGTAAGGAATTGTACTGCCAATGCAAAAAGTATGTGGTTTAAATCCACCAGCTGCTCTGCAGGAAAAAGATGGGACATCTGTGTGAATTACTGCCTCTGAAAACTCCCTGGAGGGTCAGCTATGGGTCAGTTTTGACTTAACAACAACATTCAGCCTTTTAGTTAGAACCAACTCATAGCTGATCTTCCCATGGGTTTTCAAAGACAGTAAATTACTTGAGAAAAGATTGCATTGGTGTATTCAAACTGCAAGCCTTTGGGTTGGCAGCGCAACACGTTACCACAAAGACACCAGAGCTCCTTGCTTTTCTGTTTAGTGCTTTATGTTAAAATATGATTTTTTTTAAAAAAAGGTAATTTAAATGCAAACATGTTCCTTTAAAAGTATACATCTTTTTAACCCATCCTAAACAGTACTATCTAACAGAAAGGAAACACAGATGCAAGTCACAAGCATTATTTAAATTTTTTCTAGTAGACACATTGAAAAAAGTTAAAAGGAACAGGTGACATAAATTTTGGGGATTTATTTAATACATCCAAAATATCATCATATAGATATCGATATAGATATAGATATTTTACCTTTTTTTATAGTTGGTTTTGAAAATGTATTGTTTATTTTATACTTCCAGAACATCTCAATTTGAATTAGCCATATTTCAAGGGCTTTTTTTTTCTGCATGTAACTAGTAGCAACTGTACTAGCAAGGCTAGGCCCAAAGTAATGTGATCCTTTCATTCTGTAGCAGGCCAATGTGGATACTTTTTAAATCATTGATTTAGGATTAACAGCATTGTGCCATGTTTAATAGACATGCTACCCATCCATCCTTTTTTATTCTAGTGATCTAGTGGTTAGTGCTTTCATCCTTTTTTTAGAAACATAAATTAATTCTTGCAGACTTCTGCTTTATAAATTAATGAATTTGATACTTTTAAATTTGACTTAACATTTGTCATTTTTATATTAACACTGGACCTGAAAACATTGACATCTATTGGAACTATATTTTTTCAAGCGGGAAAAGTATGGTCCTCACAATGATAATGATGATTCTCATAGTGCATTAGTTTCATCTGAGGAGTTTATTAGAAATGCAAATTGTTGAGACTCTCTTAAATAATCTGATTCAATAAGAACCAGCATTTCAAAAAAGTATTTTAGGTGATTTTGATGGAAAAAATGTTTGCCTAGAAATTTCAAACTTCAAGTGATATTCAAAAAGATCTACATTTACCTTTTAAAAATATTTACATTTTAAAAAATAGTATTGGATTTGTTCTTATTGTCACAGATATTAGAAGAAAAATTGGCAATTTTATTTGGGAACAAGGCCAGCATTCTTCAGCAGAAAAGGTAAGAGTGAACTGATATTGCTTAGAATTTACATTTTCAGCATTTCAAAAATATTTCAACTCTCCTGTCCTACTGACAGCATGCTGTATGGTCTGGTTTCACCCCTTTCCAGCAGTCCATTCTCCTTTCTAGTTCGTTCTTTTTCACACTCTTTCAAATGACCCTACCTTTCACTAGCTCTGCCTCTGCCTTACTACCTTAATAAACCTTTCTCATTTGTTTTGCTATATTGAAAGTCAGTGTGTGGGTGTGGGTGTGAGTCCACTTAACTACAGTCACTTCAATGCACCCACTCATGAGAAATAACAATGAGTGGTGAAGAGATAAAGAGAACTCTGGTTTTCACATACTTCGTATTGGAGATCCCACCAAGACCACTTTTAAGATCAGTGAGTCAATAGTGACTGTTTTTAAGTGACCTTTCCTCCCCTGTTACTTGGCAGGTAACAAGTATGGCTCTTTCATCTGCTTCTCTAACTCAGAAGGCTCTCTGGGCCTGTCACTTGAAGCTTTCTCTTGGTGGTGATGGTGGTGGTGGTGGTGGTGGTGGTGTTGGGGTGATTGCTTAAAGATCTAAACCCCTAGCTAACCTTTGCTGTCTCTTCTTGGAGAAGATGAGCCCCTCTCTTTCTCCTTAGCAATCCATTTAACTGTATTCACTTTGTACCCTTTCAAAACTTCCTGTATGACATTTTCAACAATATTGTAAGTAAATTATTTTTTTATTATTATTAAATTTTATTAGTTTTAATGAACATTTACAGAGATTTTGGGTTCTCATTCATTCATTGTTGCACTGTTTTCTCTACCCTCCTCCCCAGTTCATTCTTCTCCACCCCCAATGTCTGTTTTAATTGTCCAATTGCCACAGTGCTTGT